TCCAGAAGACAACCAGGAAGCCTGTGGACATGGTGTGGGGAGAATCTTTCTTGCCACCTAGGCACATTTAATGTACAATGAGAGGCCAGGTGGGGAAAGCAGATGTGTGGTGTTTGACACCATCCCGCAGCTCAAGTTCTTGAAGGTGTGTGTAGTGTCAAATGCCTTGACAAGCTGAAATACAGATCTTTATTTATTTTCTCAGTTGTTATGGGCCAGTATTTTATTTGGTACCATGGTTCCCTGGCTGTGACCTATGAACTGCCAGCCTCCTGCAGGCCTGCAGGTTCCCACCTTGCCTGTAGAGCTTCCTCCATAAAACTGATGATCCAGGAAGCATATTGAAGATAGCCCAAGGTCCCAGAATTTTGAAACTGATTGGGGACTACATCGATCTTTGTCCAAAATGGATGAGCAGAGCACTTCTGATGTGTGGAAGCAGTAGCACCAAGTGTGGTACTTCTGTGTGTGAACGGTATCTAAAAAAACTCAGGGCTGTAGGCTGCCTGGGGAAGCTTATATTTGAAGGGAAGGTTTTTTCTTCCTCATAGTTTTCTATACTAAAATACTAATGCTAGAGTTAGTATACTGCAATATTAATATTGGCATACCATAATACAGGTAATAGTATTTTAGTCTTAGTGTTATCTACCCAGGGGACTCTGGTGAAGCAGGAGTCTGTGATAATCCAAAACCAGAGCACAGAAGCCCACCAGGCACTGGGTTGGATGTGATTGGTGGTTAGACTTCCCTACTTCAACATATGCTTTATTAAGTTTACTTTATACAGCATTGTATCTTCTAGGTTTTTGATAGAGATTCTCCTGGGCAGCTCCTGCTTGTAGTGCTCCATCTTCCTGCAGTGGCAGAGTTGCTCTCAGAGCTGCATACCTGCCTGCTTGCAAGGAGTTTTGGCTTCCATAAATTAGCCACAACTGGGTCGGCTGGCATCAACTTATGGTAGCAGATGGTCCTGGTTTTTCTGGATCATACCCAACAGATGAGGCAAACTTTGGTTTCTTATTCCAGGAAGAGTTTTGAGCATCCAAGTGAAGATGCCTTTTCTTTTGGCTTCAAATGAATTGTGCTGCCTTGTTAACTCTTGAGAAGCTTACAGGGAAAACACTGCAGGCAAGTGCTGGATAGAGACTAGGATGCAGGAGGGGAACACAAGGAAATACAAAGTACTGGAAGGGAGAGAGAGATGTTAAGGGCAGGGTCCTTGCCATGGGGTCTGTTTGCTGCCCTTTCTTCATGGGCTTCTCTGCTTCGACTGCTGTCTGTGGAAGGTTTTACACTTCAACCTAATAAAAGGCACCTGAATTAAAGAAACAACTTTCTTCAGAGCTGTAGCTGTTTGTTCAGTTAGTTCACTTATGTTAAATCGATGTAATCTTCCATTGATACCAAAATCATACCCTGTCAAACTTGTTAAATAGGGCAAAATCAAGGGACAAATTTCAGCCCAGTAAGAGGTTTTTCAGGGGAGTTGGAGGGATGTTTTCTCTCTGCTCCCTTTCTGCTGCCTGCCATTTCAATTTCAGTGCTTTGCTGTGGCTTTGAAACCAAACTCCCAGCTGCTGATGGTGGCCAAGGCAGGCAGGGGTGCTGCTGCCCGCAGTGTCCATCACGCCAGGGCCTCTCCCTGCCCACCTCTCCTGCCACAGGCTCTGCTCCTGGCTCTTGCCAAGATGCCTGGTCTGCCCTGCATGCTGCAGCAGTGAAACTTAAAGCCTCTGTGGCATGGGCTGCTTAAAATAGTTTTCTTGAACCCTGACTTCTGGCTGTTAGTGTTAATGGTGGTGTTAGGGGGATTGCTCTGAGTAAGTCGGACAGTTTGTGTGGCTTTACCGAGCGCTTGTCGTGGCAACAGGGAAGGGTATGTTCTCCCTTTACAAGCCTTCTCCTTTCAAGTGGCAGTGCTGTTTCTTGCAATATTTCTCTGTTTGGCCCCTAGCCCAGGACTTCAGACCACAAATGAGGAGGTGGTTCTGTCTCCTCTGCTTTTGGATCTAGTGTGGGATATCCCTTTTACTTGGATTTCACACCTCTGCTCAGGTATGGGCCCACCTCCCAGCAGAATCCCCTTCCTGTGCCCAGCGGTTTGGAGGTTTCTTGAAGACCTCCTGCCTGCAGCCTGACAGTGGGTGCAGGGAACTGAGACTCTGTAGGCAGAGGGCTGGGCTGCAGCCAGCACCCCACGCTGCGGACGGTGCTGCCCCAGCTACAGCACCTGCCCTTGCTGGAGGACCCCACTGCAAAGCTCATGGGGCAGCTGTAGCTGCATGTTCAGTGTTGGCAAGAGGTAAAGCAAGGAGATGAACAAGTGGATTTTGAGCCTTCTCTCTTCTAGCCCTTGTGTGAAAAAGGTTTAGGTCTTCTCTCTTTTGTTCTTTTGTTCTATCAGCCTGAGATCCTAACAGTGACTAGTTGCTGAAAAAAGGATGGAGCCAGAAGAATGCTGGTAGTTATACCTTCATTATATCCCAGGAGTGCTAAAAAGCAGGGATGTGCCTGGTTGAAAACTTACCTGATGTATCCAGCGCAGATCTAGGGCTGGAGCTATGGTCAGGGTATCTCTCTGGACACAGACAGAGTTTAGCTCTGGTGATATTGAGCTGGGGTAGGAAAAAAGGTCCCTTCCTGCAGCCTGGCATCTTCCCACCACTTAGGAAGATTTATAGCTTCCTTTGATGCCTGGGCAGGGAAAATAGATTCCTGAGCCAGCACCTTTAGGGATTGCTCCTGATGTTGGAAGAGATGGAGCAGTCTGCAAGTCTCCTGTGTCAGCACCTGCCTCTAGCCTGAGGGCTGAGATTGACCCCGTGCTTGTCATTTGGATTTTGGTAGCCCCTAGAGGGTCCTGGCAGAGCTGAGTCTCAGTGTCTGGCACATAGGTCCATGGCAGGATACTGTCCTTGCTGAAGATGGGTGACAGTTTTACAGTTTTTTTCTTTAAGTGACTATTCCTTTCACCTGCACTGTTTCTTCACCTTTTCCTTGTTGCCCAATGAGAAAACACCCCACCCCACATATAAAACCACCTCTTCTGCTCTTCTTAACATGCTAATGTGTGTGTGTGACCCACCAGGTGCCCCAGGACAAGCCTATACATGTTCCTGTCACAGAGCCTGTCCTGAGATCCCACCATCCTGGAGAAGGCCAGCAGTACGGGGCTGCCATCCCTCCCTCTCTCCCATGGAAGCTGCATGTGCTCTGGATCTGCTGTGCAGTGTCATAGCCAAATGCTTTACCTTGCCTGGTGTTGAGCAGGATAAATCCCTTTTGGTCCTCTCAAGTAAGCTGAGAACTAGACCAGCTTTGTGGGCTGTAGCTCTGTGGTGGCCAGTGCTGCCAGCACAAGCCAGCCTGTTCCCTCTGGCAGGGAGGCAGGATCCTGGGCAGATCCTTGTTTTCCTTGCAGGGCTTCTGCTCTCTTCTCTCCAGCCCATCGCCTTTGTCTCCATCCTCCTGGAGCTCTTGCTCTGTGAGTCCAACCACCCCCTGGGTACCTGCTAGCATTTCTCATGTTTCTCATCGCTCCTGCTCCTGCAGGCACAGCCACCCAGTTCTCCCTGGGTAGGAAGGGTGGCAATCCAAGCCCTAGTAGGAGTTGCCTTTGAAACAGAGGACGGTCTCGACGAGAGGCTGCTCTTGTTTCTTTCCCATGTCCATGCCCACATGGGAGAGAAAAGCAATGGGGAGGGGGTGGAGTATGGCACTTTTACTCTCCCATATCTATACCCCCACGTGCTGTCTCTGGCCAGAAATATCCAGCTGCTGACGGCAGTCTGAAGATTGTATTTAGCAGGATCTTATCTGGGACTTCTTTCCTGCCTCTTAATTGATTAAGCAATAGTGGAGAGGCTGACAGAAAGTCTTGGACCAAATTCTGTTCTGCCACATCCCTGTAGCCCCCCTGGGGTTTAGTGTGTGGGGCCATCCAAAATCCACTTATGATTGTTCCCATTGTAACTTCTTCCCCTCACCCCCCTTCCTAGCATGTCTGAACTGGGTCCTCAGGACACGGCTCTGCTTCTGACTGTTCCCAAATAATTATCATATAATTCTTCTCCCAAAATAACGTAAGGTGTGGGTGAGGTACGTTTGCTTCCAGTGATGTAGCAACAGCCCTTACACAACAGAAATGCTGGGTGTTTCACCAAACTGAGAATGGGATGACAGCTGTAGGAGTGTGACTAAGGGGTGTCAGTGTGCTACGGGTGTTGCACATTATCTCTGGGGCTGCTTTCTGGGTTTGTCTTCTTCCAGTGCATCAGCATCCTGGTGCCTGCTTTCCCTTCCCAGCCCTTTCCCCTGAGCCCCCCAATCCTCCTGCGGCTGATGCGTAGTGGAGCAGCTCTCCATACAGTCCCCTGCTGTGCTCTCTGGGATTGTGGTTCCTCTTGGAGGGTCCTGCTGTGACCTGGGCTCACTCCCGCCCCATTTGCGCTGAGCAGGGTGACTTGCCAGCTGTGCAAGGGCCAAAGCTGCAGTGCGACTCTCACGTTCTCCCCAGGCTCTCAGGCCTCCCATTGAGCTTGCACAGACACGAAGGGCTCTGAGGGAACCAGCCTTTCTGGCTGGGCAGAAATAGAAATGAAATCCAGCTGTGCTGGTTCTGTAGCGGTAACCAGGGACTGAGCGGTGAGTGTCTGTGCTGGTGCTGTGACCCAGCAGAGCTCCTCCAGCCATTCTCCCTCTCTGACTCTCTACAAGTCATTCTGCTAGTTTTTGGGCCTTGCAGCACAGAGAAGAGGTTTTTAATTTCTTGAAAACTCCTGTGATACATCCTGATTATCTGACTTTGGGTTTTTAAATTATTTTTGTGGGGTTTTTTCTTTTCTTTTTTTTTTTTCTTGCCCCCCCCAACGATGAACTCCAGACTGCTCTTCTCTATTCTCCCAGCTCGTGACCTTCTGGCTTGCAGCTATGATCCCAGTTGTTAGTTGCCCAAGTACATGACAGAACCTTTCATACAATATTAATGGCATGTTTCTCTCCTTGCAGTGATGAAGATGATGAAGGTGCTACCGTGCCCTGCTGCTCTTCTCTTCCTAGTGGCTGCATTCACTCTGGAGCCATCTCACTGTGCCAAGGTGCTGATCATGCCCACCATAGTCTTTGACAGCCACTTGCGAGTCTTCATGCGAGTGGCAGAGGCACTGACTGACCGGGGCCATGATCCTGTGCTACTTCTACATGAGGGTCGGGATGTGGAAACCTACCTGCCCGGCTTCCGCACGCAGAGGTACTGGGGTATCTTCAGCACAGAGAGCTCAGATGCCTGGGTGCAGGAGAAAATAAAACGTATCCTCCAAGGGAAGATGACCTCTCTAGAGATGTTTTCCTTTTTGGAGAAGTACCTGCAAAACTGTGATCTAGTGCTGGGAAACTCTACCCTTCTGCAGAAGCTCCAGCATGAGCACTTTGACCTGCTGTTGGTGGACCCCAATGAGATGTGCGGCTTTATCCTGGCCCACATTCTCCATGTCAAATATGCTGTGATCTCCACTGGTTTCTGGTTCCCAGCTGAGATTGGTGCAACTTCCCCCATTGCCTATGTCCCTGAGTTCAACTCCCTGATGACAGACAGGATGGACTTCTTTGGTAGGACTTGGAATCTCCTAGTCTACATGATCACTCGTGTCGCCACAAAGCTAGTTATCCTGCCCAAGTTTGAACGTCTCATGGAGAAGCACAGAGTGGAGCCAAAGACATCCATGTTGGACCTTGTCTATGGAACTAGCCTCTTCTTTCTCTGTAACGATGTGGTGCTGGACTTTCCCCGGCCAACGCTTCCCCACGTCATTTTCACAGGGGGGATCCTTGCTGAGCCTGCAAAGCCCCTCCCAGTGGTAAGTGCAGGAAAGTTTTGAGCTGTGGTTGTACATTAACCTGAGGAGTTACTCAGTGCAAATCTGCTTTAGAAGAGCCCTGTGAGCACTGACACCCTGGGAGTCTGGAAAGCTGCTTTTTTTTTTGCCTGGGTGCAGCAGGGAGACAGCAAGCACTGAGGACTGGGAGGATGTAGAATTAAGTTGTCCACCCTGAAGCGGGATTTGGCTTTACTGTCCGTGTAAAATGGTGTGTGGAAGTCCTAAATTGGCAGTGTTGCCTCTGGGACTTAATCATGAGTAGTTTGTTTGTTCCTATACTTGAAGCAGAAAAGTCTTCATTGCTTCATCACTGATTTATGTCAATCCAGAACTTCCTCCTTAATCTTATTTCTTGCAGGGCATTTCTACCCTCAAGGTTTTAGTCTTAAGAACCCATAGAGGAGAGCTGTGCTTGTTCCCTCATCAAATTCAATGTGGAATCCCAAAGTGTACAAAACTGAAGTGTGTCATCCCCTTTTTCTCAAGGTCCAACCCTGAGGGAAAATTCCCCAGGCATCCCACAGGCTTTCTCTGGCCTGTACCTTACTATCCCCAGTAATAAATTCAGAGGGACAAGCTCTTAAAGCCTCCAACTGAAGACAATATTGGAACAGAGCAGGACCTATCTGCCACTGCCACTTTTACAAACACTGAGGGGAAACAGACCTGGATAATGACATTTGGACAGTCAGGTTGTTCTAGTGTCCCAACTAAGGGACCAAAATGGGGGTAAGATTCAAGTTTCAAATTCTTAGAGGCCTGTCAAGATCTCTGATGGCAGCTGTAATAGACATGATTTTTTTGGGTGCCAATTTTTTCCAGTTAAAAGAAAAAAAGCAAAGCCAGGCGCTTTAGAACAGAAGTTCTCCAGATGTGTATGGCTGCACATCACCCTTTCCCATGTGGCATGGCATGCAGGTGATTGAAGGCACGTAGGGTGCTCTGAAAGCTATGTCAGAGAGTGGCTACCTCAACAGGTCTTGCAAAATACTGGCTTGGTCCAACCTGGCCACGTACACACCTGCCTTATAAAGAAGGGAGTTGTTCACTGTGGCATTACTCATGTGCTTCACAGCTTCCAGAACTGATCCCAGGGTGCTAAGAGAAGAATGATGGAGATAAGTCCGGAGCCCTGCAGTAGGCGGTGGCTGTCATGCTGGCAGGCAGGCATGTGTGTACCCAGGTTACGGGATGCCAGCCCAAGAGAGGGCCTCTGTAGGTCTAGGCGTAGCTTAAGGAATCTCCCATCCGAACTGGAGCAGAGTTATGTAAGTAAGGTGTTTATTTCCTTGTATTTGAAACACTATGATTGCGAGTTCCTTTAATTAGGACACAGTGAAATATAGATGTATACCTGAGAGATGGTGAGAACTTTTGGTGGTCAGCCATGCTTCCCTAGCAGCTTGAGTGCTATTTCTGAAAGTCAAATGTTACTGCCCAATTATAATGGATAACATAATAATCTGTTTTATGAGTAATTGTACTTCTATCTAGAAAAGGAAAACTAGTACTTTCACTTCCTTAGCAGTTTTAGTGGTTGTATTGCTCAAAAGATGTGAAACTCAAGAGAATGGAGAAACCAAAATCTCTTAGTTGAAAACTTTTTCTTGCTTGTTTTAGGGCTTTTTAAGCTCTTCTGCAAAGTTGGGTTTGAGTCCCTGAGGCAGCTAACAAAGGACAAACATCCACAGAAAGTAACACTAAAATGTGCTTCATAACTCTTCTCTACCATGATCCAACCTGTAGACTACTACTGATGAGATATGCTGAATTAATCATCCTATTTTTGTCCTTTAATAACAGGAAGAACAGTTTTTTTGCCCTCCATGTTCTCCTACAGTGTTTATTTCAAGGAAGTGTTCATATTCCAAGAAGGATTTTAGGAAACTTCCCTAAAAGGCTCCTCTGACTGGTGTACGTGGAAAACTTGAAGCAGGACAGACTCAGTAATGAGAAATAGGCTCAGCCCAGCCTAAAAGGGAATACTGTTTTTGCTCCACAGCAGCTGTAGTGGCTGGTTTCTTCTTCCTGCAGCCTTCTGGCCCTGGTCAAAAAAAGTAAGGACTCTGTTCTAGATGCACACCTATTTATGTAGCATTACAGGGAGCCTCTAAATGAAGGACAAACAGCTGTAGTTTTTCCTGGAGCTGTAGCTACCTCCCTGCCTAATGATCCAACACCAAAGCTGCTGCCTGAAAGTAGCTGTCAAGGATGGGTAGAAGAGAAAACCTTCTGCCATTTCCAGGAGCCTTCAACATTGGAGAGTTTGTGGGGAATCTCCAGCGAGATGTTCCCCACTCCGCCTGCACAATGTTTAATCTGTTGTATCCACCTACAGTTAGAGACCCTGACAGGCCTCCTGCCTTAGTGGTGATGGAAAATAGCCTTCCTCTTTTTATTCCAATTTCCTTCGCTGCTCTGGCTGCTCCTGTGTGGACCCTATGTTTTAAGAGCCCTCCTTGCCAAAGATTAATTTTGTTACCTCCAATGCAGGAGGTAATGCTCTGAAATACAAGTTTTGGACACCTCCCTGAAAGCTCCCAAGCCCAGCAGGTGCTCAAGTAGTTTCTATGTGGCTGGCTGCTGAAATCACAGCGGTTTTAGAGTTTGTTGCCTGGTCAAAACCACGTAGCTTTGTGCTCCAGGTGGATTTGGCTTCATCCTCTCCATAGATAGCTTTCTACTGGCAGAGGCAACAGGGGGGAATGGCCTTTCTCCAACCAGACTTCAAGGCAGCTGTGTGTATTTTGCCCACAGGGTCTGCGTCTCTGGGTGGAAGCAGCAGATGCAGGTGTTGTTGTTGTCTCCTTTGGCATTGGGATCCGCTTTTTTGGTGGAGAAGATGGCTGGTGCATTTGCTCGCCTCCCACAGCGTGTGGTGTGGAGGTGAGGAGGGAATGGGATTCCTTTTAACTTGAGTTGGATGAAAATCAAAGTTGGGAGGTGATTCATCTCAAAACACTGAATTTGCCTTCCATCTCTTGATCTGATGGAATTTCTAATTGTTCTCTGTGTGTTTCTTTTCCCTTGTTTTCCCCTTCTTTATCTCCTCCCACAGATACTTTGGGCAGAAGCCAAGAAACCTTGGTGAGAATACGCTGATGATGGATTGGCTGCCCCAGAACGACCTGCTAGGTAAGGCCAGGCTGTGTGCTGCTAGCAACATCCCTGGAGTTTAGCCCAAACCACAGCAAAGGCATACAAGGTCAACAGCACCTGTGTGGGTCTAAGTCTGTTGCTTGTTGCGAGTCTGATCTGTACAAAACATGGTCCTCGCCTAACACCTGCTTGAAGCTGCATCTTGGCCCCTATCTCCCTCCTCCAGGCACTACTTGACAAGTTTTGGGCTGCCAAAAGCCATGTGTGTTCCCAAAGGGTCGTATACTCTCTGCTCAGCATGTGTGGTTTTCCCTAAACATACATCAGCGCTGTGTGTTGAGGAAGCCACCGTTAGCCCTGTTTCAGCGTGCAAGGCACTGACCTGCTGCCTTTTCTTTGCTTGCAGGCCATCCCAACGTGAAAGCCTTCGTCAGCCACTGCGGGATGAATGGTGTATTTGAGGCAATTTATCACGGTGTGCCAGTGGTGGGATTTCCTTTCTATGGAGACCAGTTTGACATCATGACCAGAGTGCAAGCGAAGGGCATGGGTATCCTCATGGACTGGAGCAGAGTACAAGAGGAGGATCTTTACCAGGCTGTTGTCACAGTTATCTCTGACCCTAGGTGAGGCATCTGGAAGCATCAAACTCTTCCCTGGTGCTGGCTGTATGTAGGGACCAGGGTGTCTTTGTGTTGGCCCCTACCTGCCAATGGCCTGCGGTGGCTTGTGGACTAAGCAGAGTTGCAAGCATTGCTCAGCTGCTCAGACATGTTAGTGCTTCAGAATCCTGAGATGCAGCCCAGGAGGAGGTACTCCAGCATTTGCTGTTAGAGAGCGTAATTTAGTCTTGTTTGGCTCTGACTGTAAGTTTCTTAGAAAGCTTTCTGAGATGCTGAAGCACAAACTTCTTCTTTTCATGTCAGCCTGTCATCTGGGAAAGGGAAAGCACAACCTCACCTGGGATCTCCCCAGTCTTGTCCAAGCAGCTTTCTGTAGAAACAGCGCAGGCAGTGGACTGCAGGCAGTGCTCAGTGTGTTCCTTCTGACAACCAGATACTCTTCCCTTTCCTAGATCTGCTGCAACACAGCGCTCCCACTTTCTAACAGTGCAACCGCTACTGTTCGAAATGCTGTCCAAGGGGGGTTTCTTTGTTTGTTTGTTTTGTTAGCTATTAGGAGCTCTCAACTACTGACCTCAGTGTAAATTCTTAAGGTGTTGCAACTTGGTACCTTGAAAGATTTGGCCAGTCATGCAACTGTTGCTTGATGTTGGGTGAGGTCTTTGGGTGCAAACTCCTCTCAGAAAGCAACAATCCACATGAACCCACTGAGTAGGGACATGGGAGATGAACTGCCAGTCTTGTTAACAACACGCAAAGTACAGTGCACCCTGGCTTGTGCTGCCATGGCTAATGGTTGCCATCAGAGTGGCTTTCAGAGCCAGACAGGAAGAGAACCGTGGAAGAAATTTGCCACTCTTCCAAGGTATCATTTGGGATTTGAAAGCACCACTGGACATCTCAGACCACTTCTTGGCTCTGAAGCTCCTGTCAGAGAATAATTTATTGTCTTCTTCCCTTGCAGCTACAGAAAAGCAGCCAAGCTCATCTCAGCTCTGCACCTGGACAGGCCGATGCATGCTCTCAATAGGACAGTGTACTGGCTGGAGTACATCCTTCGTCACGATGGGGCACCATATCTTCGCCCTGCCGTCTACGACCTCTCCTTATATGAGTACTTCTGCCTGGACATCTTGGCTCTTCTCTTGCTGTGTCTGGCTGGGATTGGATTCATCCTCTACAAATCTGTGGTGTGGTGCAGAAGGAAGAGGGCCAGCCCCGTATATCAGAACGGCAATTGCATGAAGGGCCACTTCACAGAAGAGAAGAAATTGCAGTAGTGGCTCAGCCTGTTCCAGGGCACATCCCGTCACTGTGAAACAAACTGCTGCTGTGCCAAGAAATGTACGGCACGCAGGCATGGAGAGAGGTGAAAGATCAGCAGGTCTGGATGAGAAGAGAGGGGGGAGGGAGGAGTATTGCAAAGTCCTGCGTGCACACCTCTGTGTACAGCACCTGTGGGCGGGGCGCAAATTCAGGCATGGGTGGAAGCACTTGGCCAGGATGCTGGGAATGGGGCATAGGTAGGTAGACTTTCAGGGAGGAGTGCAAGTTGTTCCCTTGCTATTGCACGTTGGTGTAGATGCTGGTGTTGCTCTTTTGGCTTTTTGGCTCTCTGTAGAGGCTCTGGAGGTAAGAATAGCATTTCTTGTGTGGCATACATCATTTCTCCTCTGTCTTTTTACCAAGAGCCCTGGGAGTCAGGATTCCTTTATGTGCAGGTGGGGACCTGAACTAGAGATATGGACAGGGAAAAGGGCACTGAAAGTATCATCTACAAGAGATTGAAATTGGTCTGTTTTAAGTTCTGTGGGTAAATACTGTTCTTCCTGCTTCCATCAACCCTCTACAATCCTGTTTGTGATTGAGCTAAATTATTATATTTTTTTTAATAAAGTTATGTTCCTTCCCCTGTGTGGCAATTCTCTCAGGATGTTGTTCAAGCAAGATTAAAGCACTTTTTCTTCTTGTCCCTGTTGCTACAGTCTCCACATACCTCTGGATCCTTACAAACCTCTGTCAGCAACTCATTTTGGTCTTCTCCCAGGGTTTCAGGCAGTGCCTTTCCTCCTCTGCCAGCATGTGACATGCACTCATGCCCATGGAGTCTCCAAAACTGTGATAAAAGAAGAATTTGGAACAGACGCAAGTGTCGGGACCACAGGAAGACCAGACAGGAGCTTGGAGAGCCAGTCATAGGCAATGAGCTATACAGCACACTTACAGAAGCAACAAGCTCTGCTCTTTCTGAAGAAAGCAGAAAGGCCTGCTCCTTTCAACGTGAACAGGCATACTGTTGCCCCAGTTGGGGATGTGGTATGGAGTGATACCCCTGTGTTTCTACTCATGCTGGGTTCTAAGGCAAACCCACACTTGGGTGCAATTGCACAACCCACCCGCAGCATTGGCTGATGGTCTAACTGGCTGAGGGTCAAGCGCTCCACTCTGTGCTCTCAGCTGGGGCCATCACAGCACTGGCACCAGCTGGAGAGTAACCTTATTGCCATAGCTGCCTTTGTTGGCATTTTCAGGCTCTGCTCTTTCTTGCTATTGGACATGTTTCTCTTTCCAGATGAAAGGCACATTGCCATGTGCAACCTCAGCTCCTGGAATGCTCTGGGTTGGGACAGTGCTCAGCTCTGACTCAGAGGCTCCTCTGAGGTGAAGAAGGTGCTGGGTGAGAATCCCATTTGCCACTAAAGATGGATGAGAAGAGTCCATAGATCTAAGCTGGGACCTGTAACTATCCCATGGCAGAAGCTGTTCTTCCCAGAATTTCTTGCCTCCTGGGATGCCCAAGCGTGGCCATGGTCAGCAGTGGGCTTGATAACCCATTGGTCTTGCTCTGTAGGGGTCCCATGTGGCTTCATGCCCTCTGAGCTGAGGATGTGGAGTCTGTCTCCAGTGGGGGCAGGGGGAGATGAGAGCAAGGTGAGCTGCTAAGAATAGGTAGTAAGGGAAAAGCAGGGATTGTAGGTAAGTGGTAGAAACTGGGCACCTGGTGCCTTTCTGCCTGTGAGTTGAAGTTTAAAGGCTGATGGGGTTTGAGTTTTTTGGGGGAAAAAAAGATACTGGTACAAGTTTCATAGCATGTCTGCCCATTGCCAGTTGCCCTATGGTGGCTTTGTTGTTGTCTTCTAGCAGATGAGTGTAGACAAGGGTGTGGAGGTGGGGCATTTTGCTCAGTTCTTTGTCATCTATGGGGTGGCAAAGGGACATCATTACTCCTACCTGTGTGAGAGTTTGGCTATTTAGATTAGGCCGAATACAGCAAGTGAGCTGGGAAACTTGTGGCTTGGTGACAGAGTTGGTTTGCCTTGAGTTTGAAAAAGGAGTGAGAGGACAAATGCACCATGTTTGTGAACTGATGCTCTAGCTGAGTGACTTCTCTCCATCCCCCACAGCCCGGCCACATGGCAAAACATACTGGAGGGGAGGGGCTGCTTCAGTTTGGCCACTCCCTACAGCAGTTGTCTCTGGCCTTGGAGGAGCTGCATGAGAGGGTACCAGCATCAGCCTTGCCCTGCAAAATTCCCCAGGCCAGATGCGGATCACTAGTGCTGGCACTGCTGGGGAAACAAGGGCACTATGGCCTGATGGTACCAGAGACCTGCATGTTGTTTTGCTTGCAAGTAAAAGAGCAGAGAGAAATGTTTGAGACCCAAGGACCCTGTGCTGGCTTACAAAAACATGAGTCTATTTTCTACCTTACTGAAGATCATAGAATGGTATAGGTTGGAAAGGACCTGTTGGAACTAGATGATCTTTAAGGTCTCTTCCAACCCTAACCATTCTATGATTCTATGACCTTAATGATCATCCAGTTCCAACCCCCCAGCCATGAGCAGGGACACCTTCTGCTAGATCAGGTTGCTCAAAGCCTCATCCAACCTGGCCCTGAACACTTCCAGCGAGGGGGCATCCACAACTTCCTTAGGCAACCTGTTCCAGTGTCTCACCACCATCACAGGAAAAAAATTTCCTAATATCTCATCTAAATCTACTCTAGTCCAGTTTATAGTTTATAACCATTGCCCCTTGTTCTGTCACTACCTACCCTTGTAAAAAGTCCCTCCCGAGCAGTTCAGAAGTATTTGGTATACTCATTAAAGATGAGGGCTCCTCTAGCTTTTCCAGCTTTATTCCCGTCCTCTGTAAATCTTCTCTCTCCCTTTTAAATGCATCGCTTTCTCTCTTTACTTTTGTCCTTGTTATTATTTCGGTATTGAATACAGAAGGAAAGTATAACAAAGCCTTAAGATAGTTATTAAGTTCAATTAAGAATAATGAGTAGCCTGTCACACAAATTAAAAGCCTTGGTGGGGGTAGGGATGTAGGTGAGCATTATCCTTCAGGCGACTCTCCCTGCAGCTTGGTACCTGATCTCTGGGCAAGGTGCCTCACAGTTACTGTGTGCCCTCCCCTGCCACAGCCATTGAGGCGGCGGGTGGGTAGAGCTGTGGCGTAACTTAAGAAATTAAAACTGTGGTTTATGAGGCAGCAGGCAGGGAACAAGCCTTTTTTTTTTTTTTTCTCCCCTCAAGGAAAAGTAGGATGTGAGTCAATATTTTTCAGAGGGCTGAAGAGGCCTCACCCAGGAGCTGCAACCCCAGCTGAGCCCTGTGCAGTGCCAAGCTGCCTTCTGCCCCTCCACCTTGCTCTTGGTGAGGCATGGAGGAGCCTGACCAGGATGCTGAAACACCAGCAGTCTCACTACTGCCTGCAAAACTTGCCTGGAGGGCCCTGAGTGGCTCTGCAGGGAGACATTGGGGCACACATGAGCCAGCTTTTCAGGTTTGCCCAGCCCCAGCAGCTGCTCACAAACCTGCTCTACACATGAGGCACAGCAGCCCTGTGAGCAGAAGCCAGCCCGGTGTCTGAGACACCCTGGGTTTGCAAATGAGTGTGTTTTCCAGGTGATGGCCATGCAGATCTGCCCAAACCCTGGGCTGGGGGCAGCACCTCTGCTGGGAGCAGCTCCTTGCTGGCAACAGTGAAGCCATATGCTGGCACCATTTCTCTTGCAGCCCCTCTCTTAGAATCAGAGAATCATAGAATGGTTTGGGTTGGAAGGGACCTTAAAGATCATACAGTTCCAACCCC